TTGACTCCCCTACACTCTTCACTTGATCATATCACATTATCGTTTTCCTAAATCTAACTTATACATAGACCATAGTGTGCCTGTTATAAAATTCTTTTTACACATTTTGATACTTATTTTCCCAGCGGAATTCATACTTTGTTGGTTTGTTTATTATCAGTGAATTTTGATACATGTGTAACTAATAGCTATATGAATGTTTTGAGTATCCAATACTAGAAATTTATTGCAACAAATTTTACTAAAGTTGGACTTCATTGACTGTGTATGCACTGGCTCAAAAGTAGATGATGCCAAAGTGTAGTTCACGGGTTCCCTCTTTTTCTTTTCTTTGTAACTAGCAACACTCTAGGTGCTCTTTATTTGTTAAAAAGTACAACTGAAATTTAGTGCATAAATAGAACACAATGGCAGAAGTAAATTAAAAACTTTCCCATGTGTTGATTGGGTTTCTTATTGGAATAGTTAAGAGATTCTAATGACATTTTATTATACCTTTAAAGGACTGAGAAAGGGGAACAATCACTCGTGTCCTTTATACCAAAATGACTTGAATTAAGCATGGCACTAAGTTTGGTTGCGCTTTCATTACTATATCACCTTGCTTTTCGTTGTCTGTTATGAGAGCACGTATTGCAAGGTGAACGAAATTTCACCTCTCGTTTACTTTTTGTATTTTCCTAATTCAGGAACAAGACTTCTAACATTTAGCTTCAACTAGAGTGATAGTTTTGTGCGTGTGAGCACAATGTCATTTTAAGGTCTAATATAGCAAAAGCAGAGCTATGTTATTTATTTTTTGTTCTTATTGTAGCAAAACTTTGTTCAGAGCCTTCAATAGCTGGTTCACCAGTGGAGTTTTTCCAGGATTTGAAAGACCCCTTGCTTTTCAACTTGAAATTGGGTGAGGAATTAAATTAGAAATAAGTTTACATATATATATTATTATAGTTATGTTTTTGAAGTGATTTACTTAAAACTCATATAGATCAGAAAAAATAATTTACTAGTGTTTCCAGGTATGTTGGTATTGGCGATTCAGAAGATGCGCAATTATTCTATTATTTTATAGAGTCTGAGTCTGATCCAGACTCCGAACTTCTTATGCTTTGGATCACTGGAGGACCAGGTTGCTCTGCTCTATCTGGCTTTATCTATGAGATTGGTAATTTCGTTTTTCATGGCTAAACTGTGGGTGATTTATGTTTCTTACACGTGTATTGCCTAACACGGATATCTGTCTCGCTTTGGATTTCTCTCTGCTACTTCCGCTTCTTCAACTTCCTCACACTTTCTGTGCTTTCCATGCTCCTTCAACTTCTTCGACTGATTTCAGGTAAGGGATCCTTCGAATCTTTCATAATTTGTCGTTAATCGCTTTCTCCTGGTGTTACTCCATGTTATCTTTCATACTTTCTTTACTGTTTTTTCTGATTGTGTTTGATTTTTGCTATTTAAATTTATCTAGGTTTCCTAATTTTTCTCAGATTTTCCTGCGCTCATATTGGTTGCTAATTACATAATCCTAAATTCGAATCCGTTACGGATTGTACTTGCGACTACAATTGATTTCTTAATAAATAGCTTCAACGGCAGATAATAAGTTTGTAATTAGAAGTGTTTTCTCTTAAGGGTGAAAAGAAGTAAGACAAGCTGAACATATGCTAATTAAGCGCTTAGCGTACAAATAAAAACCTTCATCAGCACTCTTGGCTCTATTTAATTTCTTCTGCCTGTTTCAGGTTAGCTAAAATGAGTATGACAGAGGCAGATTCAAGATTTAAAGTTTATGAATTATTACAAGATCTAAGGTAAAGATTAACTTAAATATTCGTTCCACGTCTATGAATGTTCTATGATATGCTATTCTAATGTGAAATCTTAATTAGTACATGAGTTAAACAGTGCAATATATTATTGCAATTGGGTTGTATCTGACTGTTAGTTACATTAATTGATTTTTTTTTTTGGTGATTAGACAGTGCAATGGAAAGCCTTACTGTTACAGTAACGATGAGTAATTTTGCATGATAACCACATTGTTAGAGATTGATTTTCTGACTATTTGTTTGAGAAATAAAATGCTCACAACAAGTATGAGGCTTTTTATCCATGCAACCTTTCCGGTTAATGCAAGATTTATTGAAAAGGTCCCAAGCTGGTACAAAAAGAAACAACATTTACACGTAGACCAAACAGACGAGCTATTACTCTTTCCCTCCTATCAATGTCACAAAATCCATGTATTGATTCATGCTAAAAAGATTATGCAAATATTTATTCTCGACTCTGGAAATGTGAATCTTGTGCCCTTTAGATCGTGCTTTGTTTCTCTCTAGACATAAGGTACAAAGATGCAAAGAGGGATGGTCTCAAATTTGTTTCAACCTTCTGAGAACCTTTTGAATCTTTCAGCTTTACTATTACTGTTCTTATTTTTCTCACTTCTACAAATGTTATTGGTATGAAGCTTAATTGTTTATTGTCTCAATCATTTTGTTATATAAAAATTGACTCAGCATTTCTATACATTTGTTCAAAACTCTCGACTTTCTTCTGTTGCATTTCAGCATCACCAATGGTAAAAGACTCAACTAACACATCCATCATTTTGAAACTTTACTTTCGTAACAGTTTTGTAAAATTATTTGCTTCTTTCTCTGTTATTTGGCAACACTTATTGTAACAGTTACATTGTTATTGTTGTTTTATTACAGATCGACTCCTTCCGCTTCTCAGGTAGTCGAACTACGGGTGGACCTTCGAACAAGAAGTTTGTGGTACTACTTCTACAGCCATAGGCTTAGCAGAAAAATAAAAAATGACTAATATGTCTTAACCTTTCTAGCAAACTCTCAGTATAATGTTCACAAACTAAATGTAACTTACTATGAAACATAAATATGTTAATATTAAGTTTAATCATCTCTTTATTAAAGCTCGTGCCTTGCACGGGCACCCTTTATCTCGTGGATGAATATTGGGCAAAGAAGATTGCTACAGTGCATGGGTTAGAGTCAAAATTTTCATCAAGATGATTCGAAATAAATAGTAAATATAAAAAAAGGTTTAAAAAATTTAATATCTAATATATATATATATATATGGAAAAAATAATTTTCATGATATATAAATAGTATAATTTTTTATTGTAGGAGATTCGAATGAACCCTCTTAGCACTTGCTTTAGTTTTGCTCCAGATTTCACTAGAAATGGACATAAATACCGAATAATCGAATCGACTGAACTAATTCGGTTCTTCAATTTTGAATCTTCAATTCAGTAAGAGTCTAAAAACTTTGGTGCACCGAAGAACCGAACTTTATAATTCATGCATTAACTTTATGTATTAGTAATATCTTGTTTGATATACTTTTTCATGCTATGTATAACTAATGCTTACACTCTATTGCGTATTAAGGTCTGTATTACTAATGCATGAAAATTCATGGTATTAGTAATACAAAGGTTTTAATGCGTGCATTTGCATGGTAAAGACCCCATTGCCCCTCAAACTATTTTTTACATCTTTTTTCACCATAATTATGAATGACATTATTGTAAATAAGTATACTCTTTTTAGTACATCAAACCAAATAATACATAAAAATCATCTTGTATAATAATTGCAAGCATTACTAATAATACATTTTATTTAGCATTATTCTTGAGACCATCATCATGTCTTAAATTTTTAAGGGGTCCTTTGGTAGGCCGTATTAAAATAAATAATCCATGTATTATGTGTGGTATTATTTAGTACTATATTTGGTAGGAATTTGGATCTATGTATAACTAATTCATGGATTAGTTATACCTCCTACATGGTATTATAGGGTGTATTACTAATACCTTTCATTTGGAGGTATTAGTAATACATTGGATATAATACCATGGATAAGTCTATGTAAAGACAAAAATATCCCTCAAATCATTTTAATTATTTTATTTATTTTCTTCATTTTATGTTTTATATTTATACTATTATTTAGAGAAAGTTGTTTGTTACTACATAAATCCAACACAAATTAATATAATATTTGAAATGTGAGTTGCTTAGCATTAACTCTGTTAAAATTATAACTTACAATTTTTATGTGTAAATGTAGATAATTTATTTAGTTTTACTATTGTTTACATCTTTTCAATTTTAAAAATTGATAGTTTATCTTTTTTTTTAATTGAAAATTGACATTTTGTAAGTAATAAATTTACTAAGATGACAATTATTTATCCTCAAATAATTTAAGTAAAAAAAAAGGCAATCATGACAAAAAAAATTTGTTCTTCTCATAGCTAGTTAGAAAACCATAAAAAAAAATATTGTCCGGCAATTATTTATCTTAACCTAATTATTAATAATTCAAGGGTATAATTGGAAATAAGTTTTTTATAAAGTTTTAACCCAATTTCAAAATGGGGTAGGAACCAATGAATCAAACACTTTGTAAAAATAAATTATGCATTACTAATTATTGCACTATTAATTCCAGCATTAATAATCCATGCATTATTGTTTTTGTACCAAACGACCCCTAAGTGTTTTATAATTTAATTTTGTCCTCATTTTATTTTTCATCTGCATCATAAAAATAGTTTTATATACACTAAATCAAATAAACGAATCGAATTTGACATTGATGAATTGAATAATCAAATTGAAGAACCAACGCCTACCCTAGATTCCACCTACTTGGAGATCAAGTTTAGCCACGTGGACATCCAACACCATTCTACAACAAATTGTGAACCTCATTGTACTATTGCCAAAAAATGAGGGACGCCTATGTAATATCACAAATTCACAATGGCTGGTATTCGTAATTTAATCAAAAGAGTAAGGGCGGTTACTTTCTCAAAACCTAATCCTTGTCAAAAACCCGGTACAACACGTGTCACTTATCCATCATCATTATCATTGTAAACAAATCTCAGCCGTTAAACATTTCCTCATCCCCTATATAAACACCGACTCTCCTTTACCCCCACCACTAGAATACATAAATTCAAAGATCACGAAAAAATACCGATCGAAATTTAAAGAAGAATCGAATATAATCCCTTTAAAGGAAGAAAAAATCATCGAAAGATTAAACTGAATTTAGGGTAAAAGCATCAGATTGCGGAAACTGTTTTGTTCTTCGTTCGATTTCATCAAGTTCTAGAAAAATCTGTAAATCTCTTTGATTTTTGTGATTTTTTTCTGTAATTTTTAGGCGATTAATCGTTGATTTGAAGAGTTACTGATTAGATTTGTGATTTTTGATTTTTTTGGTTAGGGTTTTTGGTTTTTGGAGTAATGAATGAGCAAGGAAAAATGATGAATCAACAGCAGAGGATGAGTATGGGTCAAAACCAAATGATAAGTATGAGTCAACCTCAGATCTTGAATCCACAGCTTCAACAACAGCCACAGCAGGTAGTAGACAATGATAAATTCAGCTTTAATTCCATGTATAATTTGAATATGAGTATGAGAATGAGTATGCCTCCGTTGATGATGCAGCAGCCTCAGATGATGAATAGGAGCTATAGGATGTGGCCGCAGCCGCCTATGCCACCGCCGTCTATGGTGGATCAGCTCAAATTTCAAAACCCTAATAATCATAATTTGAAGCAATTTGTTCCTGGAAAGCATCCCAAACCCTTGGGTCCTAGAAACAATTGGAAGGGTAAAAAGGTAAATAAGAAGGATAAGAGAATGGATGGAGTTAGGAGGAACGAGATTGGAACTAGCGGTAGTGGTAGTACTGCCGGAGGAATTGTTGGAAATCAAGGCGGGTATAAGCCGCCTACCTTAAATGATTTGCAACAACAAAATCGATTAAAGGCTAGGAGGTTTTTCCCTAAGAAGAAATTTTATCATAATAATAATAATAATAATAGTAACAACAATAACAGGACTGCACCGTATGCACCTCGGAACACGTCTTCGTACATTATTAGGGCTAAAAAGAGTGGTGGTATTGCTTCTTTGGTGTCGCCTTGTCCTGTGACTCCTGCTGTGTTACCGACGCCAATGTTTTCTCCATCTAGGGAAGTGTTAGTAGATATGGCAAAAGAGGAGTGGGGAGTGGATGGGTATGGATCGATGAATGGGTTGATTAGACTGAGGTCACCAGGTCATGAGGCAGAAGGACATGAGGATGAGGAAGAAGAGGAGGGAGGATCAAGTGAGAGTGATGTGGAAGAACATGTGGAGGTTGAAAGGAGGTTGGATCATGATTTGAGCAGGTTTGAGATGATTTACCCGAATTATAGCGGGATGGAGTATAACAATGTGTTGGGAAACCGTGTGGATGATCAGGATACCCATATTGCTCAATTGGAGGAAGAGAACTTGATTTTGAAGGATAGATTGTTCTTGATGGAGAGGGAGTTGGGTGATTTGAGGAGGAGGTTGCAAAGTCTTGAGAGGCAAGGCCATAGCTATGATGAGATGAATGAGGAGGTTGTGGAGAATGAGACTGAGAGTGAGACTGATAGTCATGGCGATGGCCATTCTTTGGAGGATAACAATGCTGAACTGATTGAACGGGCCATGGAAGGAGTTGGGACTGTGAAAGGGAAGGAAGAGATTAGGATTGAGGATGACACAGAGTTTGCAGAAAATGAAGAGAGAGTTGGAAAAGAAAGTGAACAGGTTAATGGTGATGGTGATGGTGAAACTATTGAAAAGGAATCCGATGAAGTAGGAAAAGAAGATGAAGTTGATGGAGGAGATGGTATGGTTGAAGTCCTTAAGAAGGAAATCATTGCTGATCTTGAAAGCAAGAGTGAGCTGAAAGACGAAGCAGCCGTGAAAACTGGGGATGAGGTTCAGTTTAGTCAATTGAATAAGAACAATGAAAACGAGGTTCAGGCATCAGATAATGCAATTGTTAAAGATGTTACCATGGAGGAGGCTTCTAGAGTGGATGCTGATGCGAATTTTCAAACAAAGAATGAGGATGATTTGACAGGAGATAAATGATCAGGGAAGAGCATTTTCGAAGGTGACTTGTCTAAGTTTCCCTCGTCAATGTAAGTCTCTTCTCTGAGAAGCTTTCATGTTGACTTGTGTGGTTTCTTGTCACCATTTTGGATATATCTCTACTGCAGTACATAATGTTTAGCGTTCTTTTGACAGTGGCAAGGAGTATCAAATCTTCCCGTTGGGAGTTCCACCTTATAAAGTGCTAATGTAGTTATCTTCTTTAGGTGTTTTCAACCTTTTTCTTTTCCTTTTTTTAATGTTCAGTTTTTTGGCAGCTGTTTGTAGAAGGGAATTCTAGGTGTTTTGAAAGGTTAGATACTGTGTTGCTTGATACAAAGATACAGCTATGTAATAATCTCTTTTTAATTGGATTTGGAAATTTTCATATAATTCATGTCATGTGCTCTTATTATCGGTTTAACCTCGTATTTAGCATGGTTGTTCCCCCCGGCGTATGCATTGCATGTGTTGCAACTATGTGATTGGTGTTGGCTAGTGATAGCCTTTTATCTATAACATGCTTGCTTGTTTCCATGTAAGTTGTAACTATGCTTTGCTTGTTTCCATGTAAGTTGTTGGCTAGTGATAGACCTTTTATCTATAACATTGCCCTTTGAGTGGTTTATTTTTCTTATAGCTTAGGGCAATTAACTTTACTTTGCTTCCATGAAGTTGTGATGCCTGACCACTTGGAGCATACGTTCTGTTCTGCAAGGGAGTAATTTTAGTTTTTTTGTGTTAGCAACCATATGAATGATTCACTACAGGGCATAATTTCGTGTACAACAGCTCTCTTAACTGTAAACCTTCAACCAGAGTTTATTTAATATCATATAGTAAAGCATCGGAACATACTAAAGTGCAAGTTGGAATAGTTGGCTATCAACTTCAGCGATGTTGGGTGTGAGTGTTTTTTTAAAAAAAATCTTTTTGGGATCCCAAAGCTGTTATTTTGATTTGGTGGTATTACCCCTTTGAAGAATATATTCATCTGCTTGCTAGCAAATAAGTTCTTTGCTGTTTATTTTCATCTATAGAGTCGTAGTCAACTGACTTCTGCTTCGGAAAGAGACGGAAGATTTGAGAACTTTCACACTCTTGATGCATTCATTAAATTGCATGGTAATGGTTTATTCTTATTAGCCTCCAACGAATTTCTAGTTTTTCTTTTTATGCATCACCAACACTACCAACCATTCAGCAGATGTGGTACGTTTTGATATGTTCTGCTTTAATTAGACCTCCTTGTCTTCCTTGTGACTGTCATTAGGATTTGTTTCTGAATGTTGTGACCTCTTTCCACTTCTTGGAATGATATATCACCTTTCATGTTTGTGGGGGATTCCATAAGTATACCTGCTAGCTGCTGGATTATCACGAGGGGAAGTAACTGAAAGGCTGGACTGTGGTGAGCAGGATGCTTGCTTATTGTGCTCCTTTATGTATTTTCTTATATATATCAGATTATTTGGATGACCACCCCCTCAACCCCCGACAAGCGCCAAAATTATTGTCCTCTTTGCTGACCCGAATGCCTAGTCTCTTTATTGGGATCAACCTGTTGTTGAGATGCTTCTTATTCTTTAGTTTCCATTTAAGCCCATTTTTTTGTTGATAGATAAACTCTCTGATCTATTATTTTTTATCTTATGGCAGCAGAGGGGATGTCCTATTGTTGGTGGCAGAAAAACAGATGTGATGGTGACGTTACTTGTCCCTCTGCTGCATTTATTGAGTTTACTACAGAACATGCATGTTTATATAAGGGCTTGTTTGGTTGGGGAACAAGTTATGTCGGGATTAGTTATCCTGCGATTGTTTACCCACCCTTAGTGTGGGATAAAACTAACGCTACAATCTCAGGGTAAACTAATTTCTTTACCCTAATTTCGGGATAAGTTATCTGTTGAGTTTATCCCAACCAGCCATGGAATAAACTCATCCTAAAATTACTCCCGGAATTAGTCATCCCTTATCCGTCCCCCCGGAGTCATGTTTTAGGGTTTGTGTTTGTTGCAGTAGGATATTATATGGTTCATCTCATGATTCATTTCTTTTCAGGTGCTTCACCTACTTTAATCCTTGTTATATTGAACTTCGACTACCTGCTTTTCTTTTGTTTTTGTGTCTGATTAAGAAGTACAGTGTGCTGTAGGCTGGTAAGTAGATACTTCTCCAGAGTATTTCAGTCTGGAGATTGTTATCAAGTTTGATGGCCTGCTAATTTTAACTGTTGTTGATTCTGTATTTTGCAGCTCTCCACACGGAGAGAGATTTTATGCTTTGACCGGGATTGTTTCTTGGCTACTCGTATTTTGTCTCAGTTGTGCTTCTCTTGCATGTCTGACAGTTTCAACTCCTGTCCTCTTGTTGACTTCTTCGTTTGCATGTTTGAGCTACCTACATTTTGCTGCCCAGGGGTGATCAATCTATTTTTGCCTATTGTTGAGAGGTTTAGATGAATTTAGAATACAAACTTTGGAGTTCTGCTTCATGCAATCTAATTACTGGGTTCAATATTTTATTAATTGCCCGTATTTTGAGTCTTTTTAAAAAAAAAAAATAGATGCATGATCTAAGTTAGAGCTATTGGATACAGATGAACGATGAACTCACTCATGGCTTACTAACTAAATCCGCCTGTTTATTGAGCAAACTACAATCATGTTTCTGGATTGATGACAGTTGCAAATGAAATTATGCGGCGGGTGTAAAATTTGATTTCGTAGTCTTTTTGTGTGATATAGATTTGTTATTAATTTGATTTCCTAGTCTTTTTATGTGATAGAGATTTGTTATTTGTCTAGAAAAAAGGTGGGGAACGGATCAGCAGCCAACTAATTAAGCTTTTAAGATCTTAATTTAAACCTATTTTGTGGTGTTCATTTTGTATTTTTTAAAAATGGGGGAGGAAGATATTACAAGGTGGGGATCTAAATCAGTCAATTTAATTGGGATATTAAGATATTAATTATTTGTAGCAATATCAAATGTTGTATCGCCTTTTCAGTGAAGATTAAATACGCTCCTTTTTGTTGTTTAGATATGTTGTAGTCAATTATTTATTGCGTAAGATATGATTATCTTAACTTTTTTGAGCTATATAATAAACTATTTCTTGTAGTATTACCGTTGTTTTCCCTAATCTTTGTTCAAAAACCTTGAAAATTTTAAAAGTTGAATTAGTTACAGAAATATACGAGTTGAATCAGTTTATTTGTTTGCTTTTATCCATGTTGTGGGGATGATCTTTTTATTTTTCTTCTGCTTTTGATTTTGGTCTCCTTTGAAACGTATTGTTGTTGTATTGTTCTTTTGAAGTTATGTTTGGTGGGTAAAGCATGTAGCGTATTCCACTCTGCAAGTTTTGCCAGGTCTTTAAAGAGTCGCAATCTAAGGCGTTAAACAGGGCATACGAGACTGGGTATGGCAAGCCTTGAACCGTTAAAAATTTTACTCGCCTTGTCCTGTCCCGATTAACATTTTCTCATATTTTCCCTTGCCTCTCCCTATCCTCGTTATCTTTTTTTTCTTTATAAGTATTTTGTTTTGCAATATTTTATTGATTTTTTTCTTTTGTGCTTTTCGATTTTTATTCCAACATATAGATATTAGAAGCACCAAGTTTATATATTATAGCCTCGGGAAAAAGGAAAATATAGCCATCTGAAAAATGCATTTCTGAATGCCATATGGAAAAATAGTGTATAACTTGCATCAATTATAGTACTAAAATAAGGTAGGTTTAAGTCATCTCCGGCCACTTAAAGTTGTCCGCATTATTCACTTAGACACCTTAATTGAGGCTTGTACTTATTGAACACCTCTTCCACATTATATTGATACCACTTGAACACTTTTTGCCTACATGACATTTTGAGTGTGATTCACGGCTAATGAGCGCGTGAAAGCATTTTCTTACATTTTTTAAAAATAAAGAGTTTGTCTTCTTCATTATGCGCCATGACTCCACCTTTCTTCTTCCTTTTGCTTGTTGCCACCTTTCTTCTTCCTTTTGCTTGTTGCCATTACGCCTCCACCTTACAACCAAGTTGTTGCCGCAGTCGCCGCCACAATCATCCACCAATAACACCCTTCTTATCTCCACAATCATCCACCAATAACGCCCTTCTTATCTTTCAGCTTCTTCCTTCTTCATCTAGCTTATTCGGATCCTGCCGGCTGGTAATGATGAGTTTGTCAGTCATACAAGGCTACTTCTTGCCAGAGGAAGAAGAACAAGAACCTTAGTACGACTATTGAAGAGTTGGTGCTGGGTTAGCCGAAAATCAAAGTTTATCCGGTCCCTGAAAAATTCGCTTTTTATGATTACATCGGCAATTATCCAGAAAGTGGATCTATTTCGTTTTTTTCTCTTTTAAGAAAAGGAATCCGACGACAACGAAAACGATAGTTTCACATAATCGTATTAAACTTTTTTCAAGCCCAACTTCTTCATCTTTCGAGCTTCCGTCTGCCCTTGACGCCTTTTCCGAGTTAAATTTCTTTGTAACTTTTTTTTTTTTTTTCAATTAGAGCAGCAAAATACTAATCTAAATGGATAGGCAAAAAGAAATTAGCTATTATCCTTTTTCATCTTATTATGTGAAGTGCAGTTAGTATGAAATTAATTATTGAAGATTTTAACGACGCCGGAGTTTAATGGACATGGGTGGAAACTGGAAAGTGGTACGGTGGTGGGATAGCAGGGGAAGGGCTTGGGTGGTGGGAGGGTGGGGTTACAGTTTTTTTTTTTTTTAAATAGTAATAATTTTCTTTTTCTTTCACATTATAATACATTTTAAAATAATTTAATGAAATCCAAATAACACATGTCATTATTTAATTAATTGTCACGTCACCGCGAGTGTATTTCACTCATTTTATACTTTTAGCTGATTGTTGAAAAAATGTTCAAATGGTTCAAATTCTAAGGAGTAGATGTGTTCAATAGATACAAATATGAATTTAAGTGTTGTAGATAACTCAAGCCAATAAGGTATTAGTATAAAGTTAATGCATGCATTATTTTTTATATGTACTTTATTAAATGCCAAAAAGAATGTATTAGTAATGCTTGCATTAATAATGCTTGTATTAGTAGTGTGACACTAATTATACCTAGATTACTTCTTATGTATTGTTCGATTTAGTGTATTAAAAACAACATACATTATATAAAAATATTTATTTACAAAGATATTCTTTACAACTATGATGGAAAAAATATCTTGAGGGGCAATGAGGTCTTTAACCATACTAATGTATGCATTAAAATTCCTTGTATTACTACTAGCAAGAAATTCATGGCATTAGGAATACACTCCTTAATACACAGTAGAAGATTTGTTTGATAGAGTGTATTAGAAAAAATAATGCATGCATTAATTTTGTATTTTACTTATACTTTGTTAGGTATTCTTTTCTAATTTTTGTTTTACACTATATTGTTATTAATGTGTGCATTGCTAAATTTCTAGGTATTAGCAATGCAAATGCTTTTATTGCATGCATTAACATGATAAAAGACATATAATTGCCCCTCAAAACCCTTTTTACATTTTTTCTACCATAATAGTGGAGAGTATCTTTGTGAATAATTTTTTTATGCAATGCATGCTAATTTTTATGCATCAAACCAAACAATGCATTAAAATAATTTAATGTGTAATTAATGCTAGCATAACTAATACATGTATTGCTAATACACTCTATTTAACATTATTTTTGTACACTTTACCAAACGATCCCACCATCGATCTCAGGGTATTAATAATGAAAGGGTTTAGTGCATTCATTAATTAGTATGGTTAAAAACACAATTGCCCTTCAAAATTGTTTTTACATCTTTTCCATTATAATTGTGGAGGGTATATTTGTAAATAATTTTTTAAAATAAAAAATGCTAACAAGAGAAACCATGCATAACAATAAATTTATGTATAACTAATACAAACATTATTAATATATTTTATTTAGCATTATTATTATACACTCTACCAAAAGACTCTAGAGTGTATAACTAATACTTGTATTATTAATTATATATAACATGAAAATATGTACCAAATAAGATATTACAAATATAGAGAGTTAATATATATATGCATCATTTTTGTAATATACTCCACCAAGATCTTATAATAAGTACTCCATCTGTTCACTTTTACTTGTCATTAATTCCTAAAATAAATTTTCATTTTTACTTGTTATTTTTGACATATTAAGAAAAAATAATAATTTTTTTCATGTTTTACCCTCAACATTGAATACTTATTTTTCAAAATATTTTTTTAAGATATCATTTAATAGGGGATAGTTTAATAAAATACCTATATCAATAATTATTTTCTTAATGAGTGTGTGTAATGACCGGGTTCCGTCGTTATAGAAAAGACAACGGGGAAAATTTTTGGGTCGAAATTTTTTTCCGTAGTAACTTGGATTTCTCAACCTAGTCCACATTTGGACGAAATTGGAGTCATTAAAGTCTAGAGAAATCTGGTAGCAATTGGGTGATTTAATTATGATTTTGATTACATGAGTAGATAGAAGTCGTTAAGGAACCCGTACGACTTTTACGGAATTGAATTTGGGTGAGTAGAACTCCCGAAATTGATCTTAGCGTGAACGGGTAGTTTTTGAGTATTGTTGGTTGAAGGCGTGTTGTGAAATGAGGGTCTTGGAATTATTAAAATAGCTCACTGTTTCGTGGAGAAAATGGCCAAATGACCCCCTAACCTATGGTCGAATTCTCAACTACACACTTATATTTTACGAAAGTCCTAGTACCCCCTTAAACTATTTTAAAGCGGGATATAAACCACCCTAAAACTACATAACCACATTCTTTCCATGTAGTGTGCACCACGCGTTGCCAGTTATCAAATATCACACATATAATAAAAAAAATGTAATTTTATTTATTCTTCTTCTTCATTTTCTCCTCTCTTCACTTTTCCTAAGTCATGCTTCACTTTCTTTACCTATAACTCCCCAAAACCTTTATCTCTCTCCACCCCATTCCTCTCTAATCACTCCCCACCCCCACTCCATCCTTCTATAGCCCACAAATAAAGTATCAATATTCATCAG